AGACAATCTCGTCGTTCATATAAATCTCAAAAACAACAACAAATGACACGATCAAATTCTTGGCCGAATCTATCATCATCATCGATAGACGTATCAAATATTCGTCGATGTCATTCTCAAATTGAACTTAATCAAAATAATAATAATTATTCATCATCAAGTTTATTAAATGAAGCAACAAAAAAATCGCTTAGTGATTTAACACAACAATCACTTGCTATTTCAAATACTTCATCAATGTTTTCATCACAAACTAGTGTAGATATGCTGAGAGAAGATGATAAAACAAAAATTCATAAATGGCATTATTTCTTAGCTGGGTAAAAATAACATTGTTTTTTTGTTCATTCAATGCATTAATGTCTGAAACCATCGAAACGAAAATTTTAGCGTCAAATAACCTTTCTTTCCAAAATTAGTCAATACCGACTTTTTACACTACTATATTCTTATGAGAGAAAAAAATGCCTTGTAAAAATTGTGCTCATTTTCATTTCAACGAATCATGTTGATTTTATAAGTTATATACTAAAAGATAGAGAACTAAAAATTGAACAAAATGAGTCATTTCAACATAATACAGTGTTAATCGACTTAAGTTTTATAAGGTCAACATGAATGGAAAACACCTCTTTCGATGAGTCTAAAATGCCCATTTGATAAAAATCTATCGTCTGTCACGATTCAAAAGCAGAGCGTCCGTCATTGAATTTTAAATATATTAAATAAATTGTTATTCTCTACAAAATGGTACCTTCGGGGCGAAACGAGATTCACATCTCTTCCTCTCTTAGATAATGATTTTTTAATAAAAAACATTTAGTAGTTTTCATTGCTATAACACAATTGTAAAGCAAAATAAATGGGGAATTCACAATCAACGTCGAAAACTTCATTGAATATCAAATACATTTTACAGAATTTTTTTCTGCGTAAAATTCATCTGTAGTCCCTCAGAGGTCAGTTTTTCGTAAGAGAAAAATTTCTCTAAAATATATTTGTTTCAATGTAGTTTTTGTCGCTAATTGCGAATGTCGCATTTATTTTGCTTTACAATTGTGTTAGGGCAATGAAAACTACTAAATGTTTTCTATTAAAAAATCATTATATAAGAGAGGAAGAGATGTGAATCTCGTTTCGCCCCGAAGGTACCATTTTGTAGAGAATAACAATTTATTTAATATATTTAAAATTCAATGACGGACGCTCTGCTTCTTAATCCTGATAAGAGATAGATTGTTATCAAATGGACATTTTAGACTCATTGAAAGTGGTGTTTTTCATTCATGTTGACCTTATGAAACTTGAATCGATCAATACTGTATTATATTGAAATTGCGCATTTTGTTCAGTTTTTAATTCTCTATCTTTTAGTATATAACTCACAAAATCTACATGATTCGTTGAAATGAAAATGAGCACAACTTTTACAAGGCATTTTTTTCTCTCATAAGAATATGGTAGTGTAAAAAGTTGATGTTCACTAACTTTGAAAAGAAAGACAATCGGATGGTAAAATTTTAGGTTTTTTGATTTCAGACATTAATGCATTGAATGCACAAAAAAAAAAAGTTTTATCGAGTATCTCGTATACCCGACAGTCTCGTAATTACTATCTTAAAATCCTATGTGTTCATATTTATTTTAGTTCTCAACCAACAAAACTTGATGCGCATGTCGTACGTGCCATAGATTTAAATAAGTCAATAAATATTAATGTTCGACAACAATATCGTCTTTGGTCCAAATGGTATCAAGCTGTTCAAATGCGTCCAATTGAAGAACAAAATTTATGGACAACACCAATAAGAAATTCATCGCCATCAAATCGAAAGGTGAGAATCGAGCATGTTTGCTACCACCGCTCGTTAATCATCAATTCGCCTTAATCTAACCAATTTTCTCTCGATGTTTGTGATTGTATATACATATCAAAATGATTTCGCTTTTTTTCATGTGCTAGTTTCTTGTATTTTTTTTTTTGTATATATTTAAATATCAAAGAAAACCAGATAAGAATAAAAATCCCTTTTCATCACGCAGGTATCAACTCCTGGTGAAAATCAATCGTCTTTATTAAAAATGGTAACACGACAGGCATCGAAAAGAAAAATAAATAATCGCGAACAATCACCGGTGTTAACACAAGACAAAATTATAGAAAAAAAACGATCGAAAAAGTGATTTATTTTATATAACTTTGTTTCGTCAATAGTATGCTTCTACTGTGTACTTTTTTCATTGTTATTTTTATTGATTTTTGATAATGATTTCTTTCAAAAACATATTACAATTGAATTCCTTTTTATGAATATGAGCTTTTTTCAAGTCATTGACAAGATTATATTAAATATTATTGAACAATCTTATTCATTAACGTTTTAAGACGAGGAGTTTACCAGAACACCGAACAACATAAACAAGGTCAGCTTCGGAAAAATTTTAGATTTTGAATTTGATGATTTCATTAAAAAGTCTACAAAAAGTTGTTATGAAAACCCAAATATCAACTCATTTCGGTTTACTTATTTAAAAAAATCTAAATTTAGTTCACTATTATTAGAAAACTATTATGAATAAAACTCTATTTGGAATAAAAGTCAATCTTTTATTCAAATAAAGCTTTGCTGAAAGTCATTTCAACAGAATATTATCCCTGCATAAAACTGATCATAATTCCATTTGAAATCGATTAAAATAGTACTAGTTTTATCCCAATGATGATCTGATATTAAACTTATATGTTGATTTTTATTTCTAATTTTCAATATTTTCTTCAAATCTCTTCTATCGATTAAAATTGAGACATTCTTTTTTTAATCGATTGAAAAGAATTTCAATAAAAGAATCTTGACAATAAAAAGAAAATTAAATTAATAGCCAAATATCAGATTAAAATCGACTGAAAATAGTGTCATTTTAATTAATACTTACTATTTGAAATCGTTAAAAACCAAGAACATTACATTACTATTGACAGCACTATCAAATGGAACTATTCCACGAATATTAATTCAAAAAAAAATTATTTCATTGAAAATTGTTTAGACTCACTTGAAATTTTAAATGTTCATACGAAAAGAAAATTTATTTCAGAAACAATTTACACAACTAAAGAATGCTTGGAAGAATCGATTAGTTTAGCAAAACATACAAATCAATTTCAATATCAACTATTGACAAAGATATGTTTAGACAATTCATTTTTCTGAGAAGTCACATGAAACTTTCGTGTTATTGAAAAATCTTTGTGCGAAAGAATATTTGATTTTTTTTTCACTATGTTTCATGTATGCTTTTAAGACTGTTCAATGATGCATCACATGAAGAACCTGTTAGAAATGAACTATTTTTATCACTATTTAATAAATGATCATGACTGTTATTTGTACTACTGGCTATATCAAAAGTATTAAATGGTGGAATAAGAACAGATGAATGTGAACCACAAGATAATGTTTCTATAAATGGATTTTGTAATGTTGAATTTACTTGTCACATACGTTCACTATGACTTGTTTAATGACGAACATTTCTACGAATACCTTTAGTATTATTTTCTGCTTGATAATTTTCATTCAACGATTGATGAGAATGAATATCATCATCTTGACTTGATAAATTTCGTGCTTCTTCTTCAACAATACAAATAGGACTAATTAAAAGAAAAATTTTCAACCAATTTTTTTTACTGACGTGCATCGATTTTAGCTGTAAGATTTGATATAATTGTTGATATTGATTAAGGTGTCACATTTGAACTAACTTTTGCTTGATTAAGTTCATTGTAAACAGATGATAAACTTGGCTATATTATTTGTTCATAATGATGACTATGTATGGATTAAATTTCTTTCGGTTTGTTTTTATTACTATAACTCATTTATTTTTAAATATATTGTATTTAGCGAGAAAGTATGGAACATGCTGCATCTCATAATATATTCATCTTGAACAGCAAATAAAGTTTAAGACGTAAAATTGTATCAAGAAAATAAGTAGCGTTTTTCTTACAAATGAATAGTGAGGATTAAGCAGATTTCTGCTTATAAATACAAAACACCATAAATACAGGTTTGTATTCAGAGATTTTGCCCGTTAGACCTTTGATTTCAAATGAAATCAATATTATACTCAGAATCAGTCATAAACCTTTGCATCGAATAGTATACTGAATGCTTGCAATAAATTTTCGTCAAATTACTTTCCTTTCACCCTTCACTCTTCACTGTTTCGTTTTCGAATAATCTGACCTATGGTTCTTCTAAGGTTGAAATATGATGAAAACTTGTTTTTAAGTATTATGTCTACTATTCGATACAGATTTTTTTTAGCTAACTCTAAATATAATGTTAATTTCATTTGAAACCAAAGTTTTGCTAGCCGAAGTCTCTAAATATAAACCTGTATTTATGGCGTTTTGCCGTCCTATCGAAAAGTTGATTTTCAGAACACTGAAATAATAACTTTCAAAAAACATATCGAATGAATATTGCACATAGCGAGACGAGATACTTTTGGAGTATTACAATTTTTATAGGCTTTTCTGTTTTTTTTAATGTAGTTTTCCTAATTTTTACTACAAAAACATTGCTCAAATATATCAAAAACAAAATTTTTACAGTCGATTCGATGAATTCTATCAAACTGCAAAAAACCTGTTAAGAAAGATTTTTTTCTCAGATCTCGAATTACCAGGACCTTAATGTAACAAAAATTGTTTGTCCTTTTCAGTTAAATATGCATTATCTAAAGATTATTTCGGTAATAATGACTTTAGACTTTTTAAATCTCCAACATTTTTCACACATCCACATAATTCATTTTTCATAACTAATAATATAAGTTATTCTGAGTCTTCGAAATAATTTCTCTGCAAGATTCAAAAGAATGTCTTCATATTTCATAATTTTCATCCCTTTCAAAGAAAGTTGTTCAATTTATAGAAAGCAAAGAAAAAGACTCATACACATACACAAACAAATACAATAACTAAAATATTATCCATTTCGATTCAAAATTGGTTCTCGTACAAAGAAAATAATTGATGCAGCAAGCATACTAATAAGATAAAATATAAAACAAATTCGATCAACAATAATAGCTAAAATTTTCCATTCTTCATATATATCATATAATAATTGTGAATCAATATTTTGTTTTCTTGCATGTATTGATAAAAGTAAACGTTGACATTCAAGTATTTCACGTAATATAGAAACTTTTAATTGTTCATCATCGATTCTACTTGGATCAAATTGTGTTTGCATTTTAAGTAATATTTGTTCAATATTATGTGTTAATGAATGTTGTTGAATTGATGTATGAGTAATGTCATCTTTGTCACCATCATCATCACTTGTTGTTTTTGTTGTTGTTTTTGAAAGAAGAGGTAATTTAACTTTACTATGTTTATTATTTCGACCAATGTCACCATTTGAATTATCTTGACGATCAGTAGAACGTCGTGGAAAAGATTTAGTAGAAGTTGATGGAGAAAGTAATTGTTCATAACTAATAAAATGAAAACCAAGCCAATGACCAATTTTACCCATTACTATACGACGACACCAACGAGGTACACGTGATTTTTTCGGTCCACGATAATGAAAATTAAGTACGACAACTGTAAGAACAACAGAAATAAGCACCAGTATTAAATTGGCATTAAAATATATACCTAAAAAAAACACATATGACAATTGTTAGTATAGTTTATCGTCTTCGAATTTTCAGTTCTTGCAGTGTTCTAAGTTATTTTTCTCCATGACGTTATTCACTAAGACGTACAAAGAGAGTCTTTTACGAGGGAACCATCCGAGATGATGCCTCGTGTTTGAGATGGGATCCAGTCATTAGCTAAGGCCTGTTGAGAATAGAAGAAGTCTAGAAGGATTCTTGTTTATGTGCTGCTCTTTTTGGATTTATAGCTGCTACACTGAATTTTTTTGATGTAGTACGGTATTTATAGAAAAACTGGGCACATAAATTCAGGGCTAAGATTTTACTTATAGAAAACTCTTGAAATTATTAGAATCTCCTAAAAATTTCAGCCTAAAAGAACGATCTCTTCTCGAGATATCCAATATATACAAAAAAAACCCATGATATTCCACCAAAAAGGATGGAAAATCTAGTTGTTTTTTTTTTGTGTATTTGATATCTCGATAAGTGACTATTCTGTTTTAGCTGAAGTTTTTAGGAAATTCTAATGACTTCAAGACTTGTCTATGAACAAAATTTTAGGCTTAAATTCGTGTGTCCGATTGGCTTTTTACATCGATACTACGCCAAACGTAAAAAATCTAGTGTAACAGCCGTAACTCCTTATTTTTTCGACGAGAACATTTTTGTGTAAATAGAAGAATACTTTTCCATGTAGATTGAGTGTGGATGTTCTCTTCAATCTCATTTCACACCTACATCCAATTAAATACAAGCTTGTTTAAAATATTTAACTTACCAATAATAGGAAGATTTGAAGAAGCTTTTGGCGTATAATCAGAAATAAGTTGAAGAAAAACTGTTAAAGCAAGAAGAATTGTAATTGTTAATGTAATTTTTTCACCTGAATCCGGTGGAAGCCAAAAAACAAATAATGTTAAACAAGATAAGATTGAAAATGGAAATATCATATGATTAACATAGAATTGATAATTACGTTTCATATGTATATGAAATACAAGCCATAAATAACGATTCATGGTAGCATTTTGTACAACAATTTCATAAACTTGCCATTCTGTACGAATATATTGACTTTGTTGACGAACATTTTGTGGTTGATGTCGAACTAATAATTCATCCGATGGACGTGACCATGATTGAATTTCAAGTGTACAATTTTGTTTATCTAATAAATAAATATAAAATTAAAATGAAATTATTAAAATATAAAATAATTACCAAATGGAAAATATGTTATAACAACATCACAATAAGATCGAAATACATCTGGATAGACCCATTCAACTGTACCATTCCAATGAACAGTTAATAAATAATGTTCACGTCGTTGAGAATAAGCAACATCAGCTGAATTGAATAGAACAATGTCTGGTGTCCAAATTTCAAGTGCAGAAAAAACTGTACGATTTTGATCATTATATTCACTTGGTATCCATCGTAAATGTTCATCTTGCCATTTTAATATAACTTGAACATTTGTTGTCATTACTTGATTTTGTTCATCCTAAATTTTATTTGATAAAATAAAAAAAACCAAGCATGTGTTCATTAAAAAATAAACTTGTTAGCGGAATCCCATTACGGTTGAAATATGGAGCTCACATGTATTCTGTAATCTCATTATACTAATACACAAGATACATAGAGAGAAAAACCTTTCGCAAAGTATAGTTATTCTTCAAGATAATTGATCTGTCATATTTATTTTTGCATGTCGGAGAGAATATTTTTATTTGCGTTATTGCTATTTACTCGTTGTTTTTCTTTGTCGCATTCCGTTTTCCTTAATTTAACATTATTATTGTTCTAGCTATTGACAAATAATCTTGTCGTATATATCTATTATATCTAGAGAAAGTCTCAACGCACTATTATATATCTTGATAAGCTCAAAAATACTGATATTGATTATTTTCCAAAGTCATAACTTAATCAGTTCACATTTTTTATGTTGATCATATGGCGACTGTGGTAAATCAATGCATTACTTATCATCATCCTTGATATCTTGAATATAAATTTTTATCTGTGCAAAAATTAAAAACTGAATTATTTAGAATATTTGCAAATATATTCCAACCATTCAACTTTCGAGGAGTGTTTAAATCTTGTCGTTAATACCTTTCAATGCCTTTTACTGTTGCTAAGGAATTCTGTGAAAACAGTTTGATGTCTGTTGTCCTTGGTGGCTACGATCTGTTATGGAGACAGCCACAAAGTGTTAACTTACAACTTACAATGATTATTTTCTTCGAAAAAATTATGTAAGTTCCACAAAAAAGAACTATCTTACTAAATTCATCACTTGAATGATGGTAAGACCAACATCGACAATAGTTACTGTTGTTGTATTAATAACTGGTCGTGCTTCAGGTACATAACTTTCAAGTAATATTGAACGTAATCGAGATTCATCTGAATTAAATTGAAGTGCTAAATAAAGAAAAAATAGTTCAAATGAGTAAGAATTGTTTTTTCTTCCTATAATTAAAATTCTAAAAATTGGCTATTCAATATATAATCATCTACGATCAGTACTTCCTTAATCATTAAATAAGAAAAATTGCTATCAAAGATTTGTTGATAATCAAATAATGATGTTTTTATTTTATTTTACACAAATCCATTGATTTCTCTATTCAATACATGTTATGTTATTCAAGAGCATCTTGAAGTTCTCTATAGAGATACTTCATTTTCTGATTTTACAGCTATTAATATTTGCATATAATGCTACAAAATTTGTAAGACATTTTTTTTGATAAACTTACTTCCATCATCATCTATTTCGATATCATTTCCAAATGTTGCACCTTTACTTTTTCGATTAGCTGTTGTTTTATCAAATTTACGATTTGTATATTTAAGTGAACTAGCAAAAACTGATGAACTCGATGCTGAATAAACATAAGAAATAGAGTTAAAAAGAATAAAAAATAAGAACAGTTGAATAGAAATATTGAAGTTCATTGTTTTGATTATTTAAAGATTGAATTGACCGTTGTATTAAGTAATATCGTAAAAGATTCATAGAAGAAAAGCATTTCATTTAATATCGTAGTTCTATTTAGATTTTGATCGACAAGCGTTAAGTTTTTGATACTTTTCGTTTGTGATAACATCCTTATTTGCCATTGTTCTCGAGGTTTTTTGTCGTTGTTCAATCAGAGACAAAGATAGAGACAGATGATCTCAAAAATTCATAGATGATTACAGAATGCATTAGCGTTCCGAACTAACAAAAAAAAAAAATATATATATATATATAGAAAAGGAGAAACGTCAATTTGGTCTCCGATTTAGCTTCCATCGTCATTCAGTTTATGTTCTTGTTGTTGTTGTCTTCGTTCTCGATATTCTAAAACTCATTCATAAGAATGACAAAAGAATGATGATGATAATGATGACAACATGAGCAGCGAAAAACAGAGATTCTTTTCACTATTGTAGTTTGATGAAATCTAAGAACAGTAAAAAAGATAGAAAAAAAAACAAGAGAAATGTATAGATCGAGTTAAAAATCTTTTTTCCGATAAATTGATGTAATAAACAAAGAAACTACTCGTATTTAGAAGACAATAAACGAGCATATAAAAATTTCTTCAGGGACGTTTCGTATTATCTTCAAATTTCAAATAAAAATGCTTTTTCTACCGACTATAGACAAATCAATGACAAAATTATCTTTTTCCATCAATGTCAGAAAAGACAAGCGTATGTATTCGTTGGACAGATTCTACGCGTGATTATATTAGCTAGATGTCTGACACAACGAATAAGATTATTTTATAATTATTAATGACATTCTTTTCAATGAAAAAAAGAACAACAAGATGTATACTTGAGTTTTTTACATATGTACATGCATATAAACACATATTAAAAAAAAAATGATTGGCACATCGAGTTTTTTTCGATTATTTATCTCTTTCATTCTCATTTAATTTCTTATATACATCATAGAAAACATCTTTGATTATTTATTCTGAAAGTTTTAATGTTATAAATAGAATAAGAATTCATTGAAAATATTACAAACATGTCTCATGTACTCATGTATTACTAAAATAAAAATTTATTATTATCTTACTGGAAGATGTCTTTGTGCTTTCTTCATTCAATAATATTAAACTTTGATGGAATGAGAAGGATTTTTCAGATTTTTTTTTGTACTGCTACATCTTTTTTATTTCAAGTTTTCGGGGTAAAATGTTGCAAGAAAATTTTCGCAAGTAGATTCTTTTGTTAAAATTGAATCTTAATAAAAACAACAAAAGAAAAGAATATCCAATAAGAAAACAAAAAAAAATTTAATTTCAATCACATATGAATACATAGAGCATATTTGTAGCTTTCTCAATGAATTCTCACTCTAGTTATAGAGCTAAAACTTGCAGAATAAGTAATAAAAAATATATCTACATTGTATATATGCGATCAAAACGACAACAGAAGATAAATATAATCGAAAAAATTTACGAAAAATGTCTTTTGGTCAGAAGTATAAATAATTTTATCATATTGTTAAATCTTTGATCTATCAACCAGGAACTTATAAATGAAATCTATTGTGTATTGTAGAGCAAAGTTGGTTATAAACAAAATAAAGAAGGTTTGTGTCATCATAAATCTATCTAATGTCCGCATCAGAATTACAGGGACGTGGATGCAGAACCTACCTCTGCAATGAAAAATTTACCAAAACACAAATAAATTCTTGAAAAAATTTCTTCTGCTATCAAAAAAAATATGAAAAGCCGTATTCACTTTTTTACTCACACGTTCAAAGAAATAATCAATTTATTTAACATACAAAAAAGTCATACGAAAAACTAAGCTTTATCAATTGTCAATTAATAGAAGTCCTCTGCACTTCAAAACGTAATGCATTGTATAGTGAAATAAAAGAGCAAGCTGTTTCGTTACGTTCTATTTTTAAAGAAATTGTCGAAGCTGCATACGAAGCTTATGCTCTTATTGCTAGAAGAGAAACATTTCATTATTTGAATTTCCAAAGGAAAAACTTTTCCTACAGCTAAATAATTTTTCAATATTTTCCCAAACATAAAATATTTCCCCAAACGTGCGTTGGCGCAAACAAGTAGATTCTGTGCGTCTGGGTGGGTATTATTTTAATAAATCGACAATGGCAATAATGAGTGACTTGGGGTTTTCAATAATTGAAAGGGAAAAACTCCGGATGTTTTTTTGTCTGTTACTATATAAGACAAAATTATATCATCTTTGTAAACATTAAAAAAAATCTATGAAAACAATGTTTTGGTTCAGGAAAATTTTGATTAAAAGTCAGAAAATTTGTTAAAAACCAAAAGAATTCGATATAATTTAGCCAAATAGATACGTGATTTCGTATGTTCAATAATGAGATATGAGATGATAATCATTTCAATCATACCTTAAACTATAGATGTCAAGTTCCTCTATCTAAAGCACATGCCAAGATCAAAATTACATCGAAACGGAACACCGTTTGCATGCATAGTTTTCGAATGTTTTGTGACGATGATGTAATATTGTCTTGTATAGTAACAAACAAAATAACATCCGAAGTTCTCCTCTTTGGATTACTGAAAATTGTAGGTTGCTAACTGTTGCGGTTGTTGAGTTATTGAGTTATTGAGTTTACACTCATTTTTATTGAATTCTGGCGTGAATCTTAGTTTCTTTATAATGTAAATTGTATTGATTCAATTTAGTTTTCATTATAGTCGAAAGTATAATTGTTTGAATATGAAATTCTTCAAGTAGAATTTTCATCATAAAGTTTTTTGTTTCTTTTTCTCTTTGTCTTCTTCTCGTTTCTTTTTATTTACATTTTCTGTAGAAAATGGTCGAAACAAAAAAAGAGAACAGAAGTCTGTATTGATGATCATTAATGAGAATAATGAAGATGAAAGAACAAATAAAATAGACAGTAAAGAAGAAGGTTGAAAAATACACGGCAAATGAGACAAATCAAAATAATGAAAACATAAAGGAAAAAAAAATTCTCTATCTATAAAGTTTATTATTATTATTATTTACGTTGATGTTGATTGTTCTGTTATTATTGTTGTTGGTATTGGAACAGAAGTATTTTCTTTTGGTGGACTTACAGATGGTGAAGATCTCTTTCCAATATTTTCTTCATTTTTATTATTATTATTGACAGGTGGTTCATTGGTAGAAGTAGTTTCTGTTTTCATGGGATTACTATTTTGTTCAAAACCAGGAGTTCCTGGTACTTTCGATTCAAGTTTACCAATTACTTTTTGTACATTGCGTATCATTTCTTTTCGTTTTTCTTTTATATCAGCACTAACATCGACTAGTTCATCGCAACGTATCATTATTTTTAATGCTTGTTCATCAAGTACCTTATATTGACGATCATTACGAGTTGAGCCAATAAACGCATCAACTTGTTTCTCAAGATTATCCAAATTTTGTTTAATTTGTTCGAGTTTTTCTAAAGCTATTCCATTAGGATCGCGTACAGGTTGTGGTGGTGGTGGTGGTGAAACATCAGCTGGTGTTGAAGTATCAGTTGATGGAGCTTGTGGATCAGTTGATTGTGTTGATGAAGAAGAAGACGGTGGTGGCATTGGAATTGGACCCTCTGTATCTTTAGCCATTTTAAGTTCAGGTTCTTCTTGTTGTTGTGTAGTAGTAGTAGTTGGTGAAACTTTAGCTGGTGATGCACCTCGCTGAGAAGCCGGTGAACGAGCACGTTCATTTACTATTGAAAATAAATAAAACTTAATTTAAAATTATATATATCGTTTCGTTTTATTCTATCTAAGCGAACCTTTTCGTTTTCTCAAATTACTACTCGATATACCCATTAAATTTCATTGTTATTTTATTGAATTGTCTACATTTGAAACTATCAAATGAATGTATTTTCAACTCTTTTTGTTCTCGACAATAAACTACTATGATCAATAAAAAATTCTGTTAACAATTTCTTTTTGTTTTCATTCTTCTTTACAGATACGCTTATAGTGTTGTTTTTATTCTTCGTTTTTCTTTCCTTTTTTATGATTTCTCTTACATGAGGGTTAATGGATGGGGGTAAAAAAATATTGTGTACTGCTTGTTCTTTGCTATATGTGCACTCGCACGCCTATGTAAATATATATGATTTGGTCTTCTGTAACCACCATCGGTATCATCAATCTGGTTACTGATGTTAAGATATATAGTAACGATGGAATTGATCGAGAGTTTGATAACAATGTCCATCTAATATTTTGTTTTTTAGAAGCTCGAATAGCAGAAATTTCATTTGTTATCATATATCGATAATAATGAAATATAATTAACAATTAATATTTGAAATGATATAATAATAATTGCTGAACGAAAGAAGAAATCCAATGTTTTTAATGTAAATTTTCTCATGTGGATTTTTTTTTGCGGCTTTGAGAAAATATGAATAATAACTCATCATCAGATAGATCAACTTATTTAAAAGCAAAATTGAGATGTATTTTTTTTTGTTTTTTTTTTTGGGAAGTCTAAGAAAGAAACAAAAACATATTTATAATAGAATCAACAACATCTGTTGTTGTTAAATAAAGAAATGAACTTTTTTTCTTTTTTTTTAAATGACGGAATAAAAAAAAATTGCGTCATTGGGATTCTAAAAATGAAGGCACAAATTTTACTTACAAGCATTGGTTCCACTTCCATGAGGAGTAGTTGGTTGATAATGACCCATTGGTGCACCATATTCATTTGTATAAACAATATTTGGATTAATATAAGCTTGGTTGACATAAGTTGGTTGTTGTTGTGGTTGTTGTTGTTGTTTTTGTTGTTGTTGTTGTTGTGGTTGTTGTTGTTGTTGTTGTTGTTGTTGTTGTTGTTGTTGTTGTTGTTGTTGTTGAGATTGAGGTTGATGTTGTGTTTGAAATGATGTTCGGTAAAAGGGTTGTTGTTGTTGGTCGAATGGATATTGTCGTGTCGTTGGAAAACTTTGATACGTATCTGGAAAATCATTAAGAGCATCAAATGATCGACGTAGAGGACTTGTATATTGAATTGGTTGAACAAAATCCGAATCTGTACGAAAACCACTACCAAATGTAGGTGGTATTAATGAAGTATATTGTGGTTGAGTATTATAACGCATTGTATCAAATGGTGATGAAAGAAGATCTTCACTTGAACGACTGAAATGTAATGGACCTGGTTCATACATTCTTTGTTGTGAATGACGATATTGTGGTTCTTGATATTGTTGATACGATGGTTGATCATTTAATGGTTGATTAAATTGTGTATTTGTATTCATACGATCAAATACAGTACTTGGGGTTTGGCGTGGTGGGAGACGACTAGGCGAACTAGAAGTCCATGATGGAGAATCTGAATATCCAGCATATGGACTATCATTATGAAGTGTTCGAAATGGAGAATTATGTCGTGAATGAGAACCTGAACTAGTTGACTTTGGTTCACGAATAATTTCTACCGGAATTGACACACACTGGAAAATAAGAAAATTATTAAAAAAAAACATATATATTATATAGTTTCAACACTTACTCCAGATGGCGGACGACTGGAACCATTTGCTGAAGCCATTAATATTTATAAATTTCTACGATTATTCGATTTTTTTTTTAAATTTATATATAATTTAAAAAAATATTCAATGTGTGTTATGTATATCAATGACTGTAATTTAGGTTTACATTTGAAAAACAATCTAAAATATTTTTGTAAATTATAAATATTAATATATAACCTTATAAGGTAAGAAATCGACAATATATATGTATATATATATATATATATATATATATAAGTACTGTTTACTATATAGACGTCAATGCACAGTAGCGATAGCTCAAAACGATATGCTGTTGTGCGAACGAATGTGCACTCAGTTATTATAAGGCATGCGTGTAGCAAAGGCAAAAAAAATAACGTAGCCCGTTCTTCTGCTTTTTCTTCTTTTCTCTCTATTACCGCCTCCTCACTTCTCGTTGATAATCAAAAAACTGGATTCTTCTTTTTTCTCGTTCTTTCTCGTTTTTTCTTGATCTTGACGACATTCCTATCGGGTGCGTCAGCCTACGAAAAAAAGAAAAAGAAATGACTCGGCACTTGGTGAATGAGTGAGTTACCATTGAAGATGACGTCATCAACTAGAACAACAACAACAACATCATTTTTTGCCTTGTCTTTTATATTTCGTCTTTTTTATACCTCGTAAACATTTATTCACCTGCTCTTTATGACTTTTTTCATACAAATAAAGAAAAAAAAAAAACATTAATCTTCCTACGCATAATATTTTAATGCTAAAAACAGATGTTCACAGTAACTGTCAAAAATCAATTGAAATTCTTTTAATTCCAATTTTGGTATTTATATAACTAAACGAATTAATGTATAAATCAATAGATGTTTCTTAAGAAGAATTTTGTCTCTTTCTTTTATTGACACCCACGTTTGTTTCTCATATTATCTTATCGATAACATTATAAGTGCCCTTTTCACACATAACAATCATATAATGTAGTAGAGTCTTGATGTTCAACGCTCGTAACCGACAATTTCTATTATCTCATTTATTAATACATATACAAAAAATGGCCGCTAAATGTTTACAACATAGATCTCATCGATCCCAAGTGTATACATATATATAAAGAAACAAAAACTGAATCTTACTTTCCAATTGCGTATATAATGTGATGTAATGCTAAGCAAATAAATGAATAATTCGACTATTTGGTTTCTTTTTATATAACTTAGTAAACATGTAGTTTACTGTCGTCAATTATAGCCATTTGACAAAATATTCTCATTTCTTCTTATGCTATTTGAATAGCAATCACCATTAAGTTTCTTTTTCTTTTTTAAGCTACCTAACAATTAGTTATTGATAAGTATCGAACCTTCAGGTGAAGTTTTTCAAAACGATAGTATTCATTTGATGTCACATTTATTCTCGTACTTATTTATCGTTTCTATTTTTTCTCTTCTTTTCTTCTCGTTATGTGCAAGGACAATTATTTTTCCTCGATCTGTACTCTATTTACTAGCTGTCATCGCTGTTGTTATTGTTATCGTATAGAATATAGCTCTTATAAGGAACAGGAAAAAAGAAAAAAAAGAAAAAAACGATCTTATTAAAGTTGTTTTTGAAAGTTAAATCAAATATTTTTGAAAATATCAAATTTATATTTTCTTTTTTGTTTTCTTATAACTGATAGTGTGAAATAAATCGAATTTAATTTAGGATTAATATAATCATATTACCATATTGACTTACTTTTCAATAACAATTCGAGATAAAACGTATTTATATAGGAACTCAGAACTGTAAAACAACAAAAAACAAGAAGCTATGACGCATATAAAAGAATAGAGACATCAATCGGTCAATAAAAAAACCTTGTTGGTTATATCAGAAAAAAAAATAGTTCTATCTACGCTTAATGATACAAGCAGAAAATAAATTGAGGCAAAACAGTCGACTTGTTGAGATAGAACAACAATAAGAAGGGTATCAGTTTTTTCTCTGTAAGACAGACAGATAAGATATTTCGTTACTATTTATTATATACAAATGAATATCAAATTTATTATTATTATTTTTCACTCATTGAACTAACGAGTAAATAAAAATGTAAATTTAACATAACAGACATTTCAGATTCTTTGGTTAATTTTTTTTGCTTATCTTTTTATCATACATTTCAAACCATTGTGTTCTACAGAAAAACATTCGGGTATACACAAACGCAAAAAAAAGGATGGGATTAAAGAATATAATCTTGTTTGAATATTGCCTAAATATCATAGGAAATAAAAATATCGATAAAAAATAATAGATTTGAAAAGAACAAACAAAACAAATACACTGTATGGTTATTTTGTTTTAAGGATTTATTTTTTGACCTTCAATTATAGCTTTTACATCATTGGCCGATAATGTTTCAAAATGAAGAAGAGCTTCAGCAAGCATTTTAAGTTCATGTGCATGTTGTTTAAGTAAGACTTTAGCACGATCATATGATTCCTATTATAATGAAATAAAGAAAGAAAATATGAAAATTTTTTATTGATAAATAATCCAAAAAAAAAACAAAATATCAATACCTGCATTAATCTTTTAATTTCTAAATCAATCATTTCTTGCATTGTCGGACTTATATCATTAACACGAACAAAACCAAGACCAGCATCTTGTTCTTCTTCTCGAAATGATCTTGTACCAACTTTATCCGACATACCAAATTGTTTCACCTATTCAAATAAATAAATAAATAAATAAAAATTAAAAGAAAAACACTTTTTATTACCATATTTGTTGCAAGTTTCGTTGCTTGACTAAAATCACTTGAGGCACCGGTAGTTATTTTCTCAATACCAAATATTTGTTCTTCAGCAGCACGTCCAGCCATCATAACATCCATTTCAGCTAATAATTGTGATCGTGTTCGACTATATGCTTCTTTTATTGGTATATGTGCTGTATAACCAAGTGCTTGTCCACGAGGAACAATGGTTACTTTATGTAATGGATCAGCATCTTTAGTAAAATATCGTACAATAGTATGACCTGCTTCATGATAAGCTGTAATATTGTTTGTTTCTGGATCAGGTATTTTAGATTTTTTCGCTGGACCCATAAGAACTTTATCACGTGCCCATTCTAAATGATCCATAGATACAAAAGGTGAACTTGATTGAGCAGCGTAGAGAGCAGCCTGAAAAGAAAAAAAAGAAATTTCTCAAATGAAATAATATTCATATAGACAATAACCTGATTAACCATATTTTCAATATCGGCACCAGTAAAACCTGTTGTTCCTTTTGCTAAATATTCTGTATCAATAGCGTTATTGTGTATTACTTTACTAAGATATAATTCAAAAATTTCTTTTCGACCACGAAGATCTGGTGGTGCTATATGAATTTCACTATCAAAACGACCTGGTCGTAAAAGAGCTGAATCTAAATAATCACGACGATTAGTTGCGGCTAATATAATAATTCCTTCATTTTTTTCGAATCTAAATCATATTCATTAAAATGAAAACAAACAAAAAATAACTTTTTATTTTTCAAATATAATTTACCCATCCATTTCTGCCAGAAGTTGATTTATTGTTTGATTTGCATATGGATGTAATTGTGAACTTGATCGTTTAGCACCAACTGAATCAATTTCATCAATAAAAATTACACATGGTACACGAGATTTAGCAACAGCTAAAATTTATTTTTCAATGATGAACAAAACACACGCACACACAAAAAAGAGAAACTTACTGAATAATTGACGTACACGACGAGCACCCGTACCAACAAACATTTCATCGAATTCCGATCCAGATGTATGAAAAAATGGAACACCAGCTTCACCAGCAACAGCTCGAGCTAAAAGTGTTTTACCTAAAGACAGATTTTTTGTGTGTTTTATAAAGAAAACAGGGAAAATAATGACACATACCGATGCCAGGTGCACCAACAAGAAGTACACCTTTAGGAAGTCGAGCACCTAATTTTGTATATTTTTCTGAATCTCTTAGATATGCTACTATATCCATTAGTTCATCTTTTGCTTCATCAGCCTAATAAAAGCATATGATTTATTTTATGTAAAACAAATAATTAATGGATTTTATTACGCCTCGAACATCAGAAAAATTAACTTTAACATCTTCTGGATGAACTTCATATTTACTAGCTGTAGAAAAAGCAGTCGTTATTCCACCAGCATCTTGAAAAATCCATATAAATAATTTTATATATTAAATACATCAATAAACGTACATACCGCCAACAAATGCAGAAAATATTTGAATTATAAGTATTAGCAAAATACCATAATATAATATTAATCGTATTGCTCTGAATATTGATGAACGATCTTTTGGTTTAGATTCTCCAGCAGCTGCGATATAACCTATAATACAAAACATTGACATTACGAAATTTGACGATTAATGAAATTCAAACCTTCGGCAAAAGCTATTTTAGCTTTTTGTTGTTCATCAATATTTGATGTGCTACTTAACACATCTTGAAAATGTTTACTATCAATATTTTGCGATGATGAACTTCCATGAGTATATTGCGTAAACTATATAAGAAAAAAAAGACAAGTTTATAATTAAATACTCCCGTCCCCAATAGAATAGAAGCCCAGTGAGCTTCTATTGCGACCAAATTTTTTTTGTGTTGTAACTATACTTTGATTAGCTTACAAATTTAGAAGTGTTCAACAATTTATAAATCGAAATTGTCAAATTATGTATTCGATGAGTTCTTTACACTACTTTTTACATCCACATGCTCATATGTCTGCACTAGTCGATGGATCCGAATATGAATACGAACAATTGTGGTTAATACAATATTCATTTCAACTAAGAAATTACCAAGTTTTGAAGAAATTCTTATTGGATATGTAGCAATATGATTTTATCGAACGAATTCATCATGGAAGCGTAATTTGAACTGATCACTGTTTACTTTTGTAAGATGTTTCATTTTTTAGTTAAAGATTTGTCCATACTTTTATCAAGTTAATAAAAATTAATAGCTTTTCTTTTCCGAACTGTGCATAAACTCATAATGGGAAAGAAATCCAACTGAATAATATGATTGCATACCTAATTATTATTCCACAGTTCTTCGACATCTATTTGTAGATGGTAAATATGCATACACATTTTTTAAATCACAAAAGAATTTGTTTTTCTGTTGTTAGAAAACATACAATACAAAATAAATTCAGCACATAAACAGAACTATAATTGGATAATGAGAAACAATCAGTTAATCTATCTAATTTCTTACATTGTTTTTTTTCTACTCAGGTCGAACAAAGTAGGCTTCTATCCATTGTGAAAATTTAGAAGACGAAAAAAAAAACATAACTTACTCGATTGACAGCAGTTGTTGATGGTGGTTGATTTGAATCTTTTGGATAATGTGAAAAACTTTCTTCTTTTCCTCTTTTTTCACTAGTAACTGTTGATGATCGTTGTGCATCAAAAGCATTCATTGCTCGAGCTAAGCTACTTGTAGCTGCGCTAGTATGTCTACCAATCCCACTCGCATTTGAATGTTTTGTTTTAAAACCACGTATCTGGTGGAATACTGAGCAGAAATTGAAAACGAAACATAATGAATAAAACTAGAAAAAATATATGTACCTAAATTTTGAATTTTTAATAAATCTGTATGTTTGATATGTTGAGTAATACCAACTTGACAAGAAAGACATGAAGATGATGATACTGGTGATAGTAATAATTTTTGAAGTTCTGTAAATGAAAAAAAACCAGGAATGCTATTCAATTCAAACATATAAATATTACCTTCTTTTGATAATCCATCAAATAACGATTCAATATTAACATTAAATGCTTGCTGTACAGTTGTAATTACTTTTTTATCAATTTCTCGCTACAATTTACAAATGTGTTCTAGATATTATCACCATGTATTAAAGCAACCTTCCCCCCTTTCCGAATGTTAAAATCAAAATTTTTTTTAATTTTTGGTTTCCCATCGTTAATATAGCTTCGAAGTGTCCTCTGTCAAATGTTATATAAATGAGTACTGTTCGTTGTTAGTTAGTACTTTTATTAAACCTAACTCTTGAAATCCCTAGCAGAAAAACTTGCGCTGCGATTATTCGAAAGATGTTGAGAGCATGTGTCATGGACTTATAACAGTCAGCTTTCGATCACTTTAGTTGGAGAAAAGATATCCTGATACATACATGAAAAATTTGTTTTTCGTTTTTCTCGAAATCAATTTTTACACAAGAAAAGTGCAGAACCGCTCTCGTTTCTCCGATATAGTGCGTTCGATCGAGCTGAAACTTCTTCCACAAGTACTGAACACTATTTGAAAGGTCTGCTTTTTTTGTATTGAAAAATATAACATTGTTCATTTTTAGCAGATTTTACAAAAAAAAGCTCTAGTAAAAAAAAATATGTATTTTTGATGGTATGCTTAGTATTTTGATCTTTTTATTCGAATGGAAGGAGATAAAAAGTAGGCATCTTAAATAGTGTCTAGTATCTATTTCAACTCTCTCGGACGTATTGTAGCTGAGAAAGCGGTGGGATTTTTAGTCATTGTGACCAGATATTTCCTAGAAAGAAGTATTTAGGAATCTGGAGTCTATGACATCTTTTGCTTTACTCATGGAGATCTATCTACTCTGAAAGTTTTACATATGTCTGATGATTCATTCTTCGCGAACCCCGGAAAGGGCAGAAGGTCCTTTAACAATTTTCTTACTTTTGATTGTTGGACTTGTTTTGTATTTAGGTATGATGAAAATTGTTTCAAAGCATCTTTTTTTATCGCTTGTAAACTTCGTGGTAAATAACGCATAGATTGAACAAAAAATGAAGTACATTGCGAACATAGCTAAAACAAAACATGATCATTGACATATTATTAACTCATGTTTCTTCATTTTCTCACATTCGTTGGTGTTGCAAATGAATTCATCTACAAAACATACATATGCCTAGAGTAGTACATAATAAGGTTGCTAAAAATGCATATTTCTATGATCGATGTATTTTTTGTTTTTTTATACACACAAAAATACGAAAAAAGAAAAAAATATATAAATAATATAATTAGATAAACAAATCCATAAACAGAAAGAATAGAAATTACAAGTTTTTTTTTTTTGTTTTTTTTATTTTACAAAGAATTGTTCACAAAAGTTCTAGAAGATGATCAGCTTCAAGTAAAGCTTCATCAATTAATGCAAATGTATCAACAACATCATTAGATTCATTCGGTTTGAGTAATTGATTTTCATCATCTTGATTTGGAATATTTGATAATTGAGATTCCGTAGTTCGTTTAGAAGGAGAACTTTTACTATCGGGAACACTTAATGGTATTTGTTCAATACGTTTTGTTGATGTTTGAGAAGAAGTCATCATTGGAGCTAAAGGTCGTTTAATAACAACTGATGGTGGTTGTCGTGGTCGTGGTATTTTTGTTGTTGTTGATGACGATGATTGCAAAGAGGGTGCAACAATCAATTGCGGTGTAAAACGTGGACGTACAGAGAAAGAAGTTACTGGTTGATGTGGCACCAGTGTAGTCGATGAAGAGTTTTTGCTTTGAGAAATTCTTGCATTTGATTCATCGGTTTGTTTTGCCGAATTTTTATCATGACTCGATAATAATGAAGATGAATGTGTAGGTGTATTGAGGGATGAGATCTCTTGATGAAGAGAAGATTGATGTTGTGATAATGAAGTAGAAATACGTTTTGATGGTGGTGTATCTTCGATTGTTGTATCTGGTGCCGTACGTTTACGTTCATTAGAAGATGATGTAATGACATTACGATTAGTAGATAAATTAATATTCGTATTATCCATTGCAGTTATTGAAGTAGAACAAATAATTGATCGAGGCGGAGAGATTGGTTTTTTCTGGAAACGTCTAAGAATAAATAATAATAAATTTTATTAATGTAAAAAAAAACAACAATTCAACAATCAATATTTACTCAATACGCATTGTTCGACGTTCAACATCTTGTAACAAGGCTAATCCTAGAATATTTTGAATTAATATAATCCTACGATTACATTAAACTCGTGCAGTTTAAAAAAGAAAACATCGAATTAAGATGGTCACGATCGATATTAACATATAATGGTCATTAATCTAATGCATCTCATGTCAAAAGAAATAAACATTAATAAAAATTGCAAGATATGTTTTCCTTTTGAATCCCTATCTAAATCTCACTTAACTACTTGATAGAAAAAAAAAAAAAACGATCAAGAGCCAATATAATGAGGGGATAAGACAGGAGTCTTTGTAGCTGTCGTTGTGCATGATTGAACATATATACAGGCAGTTTGATAATTGTTAAGAAGAGAAAATAGTGTAGGAAAGAATATTAATATATTGAAATAATAGCAAGTAGGATGAATAAATGTAACACCAACGAACGTACCCGCAGATGTCTAAAATAGAAAAAAAAAGAAGAAAATATTTTTGTTAAGAGTATTGTTGTTTTAATAATCAATTGACCTTTTCTTCATTTATTGATATGGAAACAGAAATAGGTGCGTTTCCACTGGATGTTTTTGTTGCGGCCAAACGATCACGTTTTAATCGTATTGGTTTTGTATCATTTGTTGACGTTGTTTCTTCTTTTGATGACATTAATAACAAACGATTAGTAATCGAAGATGTTGAACAAGCAAATGGAATGTCAACAGCTAAAACAAAGACATTTTGCTTTTAATTATTGACGTTTACGGACAAACATTTTTCTGAGTCTGATCCAACGAAGAAAAAACAATAAATTAATAGTAATAGGAATCAGTTTGAAAAAAAAATGTAATATTTGATTAGTTTGGATCCACATATATTGTTTCATCGATGAAAAACAAGCATCATAACGTTTTAGTCTGGCTGCAAGAATACCAAGCTATTATCGTCGAGAAGAAAATTCCAAAATACAACTGCTCTAAACTTATGTTTGCCACTATATGTCTGTAAACATTCTATTTTCGTTATGATGGTTTATCTAATCCATCAAAATTTCAAGATTTAGAAAAACGACATGCATGACCGAAAAAAAAACGAGAACAGTTTTATTTCAGAGATTCCATTTCTTTTATATACATATAAATTTTTTTCTATACTTGGGTCAATTATTCGTTTTTTCAATAAACTAGATGATATATAGTGCATATGAATAATAACATCGATTGAATCAATACTAATAATTTATTATTTTGTCTTAGTTGAATCAGATTCAAAACAAAATTTTCTCAATGTTTTTCTTAGTAATAAAAGAATTCTTTACTTGATTTAGAATCTTGTTTAATTTTTTTTGTATCATTTTCTTGTCCGACCAAATCAATGTCAGCCTTTTTATCTTTTTCAGATGAAACAACAACACGATTTGATGATGATGAGGATGATAATGTTGTTCGAACAATTTTTCGCTTTGGAACAGAAGTTGTTTCAGCAATAACAACATTTCGGTTAACACCTAATCGTGATTGTGTTGTTGTTATTTCTTCTTGATTGGCGTCTGGAGAATCTGTAATTACACTACGAATAGTGGATTTATTCAAACTTGGATTATTATTATTAGTATTATTGTTGTTGTCTGATAAATTCTTATCATCATTTGATTGATTAATATCCGACGGTACCGCAATACGACGTGTAATCGTTTCAGTTTTAAGTATGGGTAACGATGTGTCAGAATTTGATGATGATGATTCGATTGTATTAATTGGCATGACTAATTGTGTTTCACCTAGATAAAGAACTTTTCCAAAAGAAAAAATTCAAATAGACATAAAACTAACTGATTGTTGGTTGAGAAGAATTGATATTAGCATTAGAAACAGATGTTGTTTGTGGTATTCCAATAGAAGGAGTATTATTAACAATAGATTTAGTTGCATCTTTTTTGATAAGATTTGTTGATGTAGCTGCAAATAGAAACAAACTACATAATTATATTTAAAAAAAATAATCTTCTTACGTCGAATTATTGATGTATTTCGTAAATTCATTCGTGGACGTGAATGAATAAATGTACAGTCAAGTTTCAAACAACCCGTTGCTGTATTTTCATAGAAACATAATATACCATTACTGATCATTGGACGCTAATAAAAAAAAAATAAAGATTCTCGATAAAATATATAATTGTGATCATATACCTGAGCAGTACTATGACGAAATGGACAAGCAGGTTCAGGACAATTACCACGTAGCCAAGCTGGACAGATAACGTTACATGTTAAAGCTAATGGACTATGTCGATATGTACATGATGAACCCTATGAAATACATTATTTGATAGATTTGATATTACATCAACTTCAACAAAAAAATCAAACAATCATAACATACTTTTGCACAGGATGATGTAAGAAAATAAAAACAATCTTCGTTCGATTTATACATAATTCTATTTATTTTCAATCTAAAATATTTTGAACAATAATAATTTATTTTATAGAAAATGCAAACAAGAACAAAAGAGACAATCATAGTAAAATAATTCATTAAGAAAAATATGCTTAGTGGTTGATGTTTACACATTTATATATATATACATATTTATTCATTTCTATTCGTATTGACGTATTATTTATACCAATCATAATTAATATATGCAAAAAAAGAAGTGGCTCCATCTCTTTGTTTGTTTTTTATTTTGCAGTTTATTTTCTTATCAAAAATTTCTTTTTTACTTATCTATAGAATAGAATATAAGTAAACAAAACATTTTAAAATCTATTCTTCATTCAAATTTAATCAAGAAATTCAATTTTTTTTATTTGCTTGTTTACATAGTTGATTGTGTTCGGCATATTTTTTTTTTCTTTTTGCCTTTAATATTGTTTCTGTATATGTATATGTCTTGTACAAGTAAAGATAGTTTCTCTATCTTGCATTCTTTATTTGATATCAAATATTAATTTCATTAAAATAATTCTTATTTCATTTTTTAGATCATTGGTGGTGTTTCGTTTTTGTTTTAATTTTCTTTTGTTTTTCTTGATCGATTCTTATTGCCCTCAACATCAAATACATAGATCTTACTGTGATTTTTTTCTTTTCTTCTGTCATTGATATTAATTCCTTGAGACTTAAAATCTACGATATTTACTTCAAATGGATTACGCATACGGACAATCTAATGATTATCCATTACGGTAAAAAATTTTTGTTTTATTTTATTATTTATTTTATTTAATATTGTTTATTTTTTCATAGAATTCTTGTTCCTAGCGATTCTGTTGGAGCTATAATTGGTAAACAGGGTTCAACAGTTAAACAAATCAAACAAAACACACATGCAAAGTCAATATTTTTCATTGATAACAAAAAGGTTGAATGTATAATTATTTATAGAATTGATGTGGATAAGAATGAACCATCAAATATACAAGAACGTGTGATTGCTTTTCGAGGTCAACAAGAAAATTGTGTTCAAGCATGTCGAGAAGTACTTCGTATTATGTATGAAGATGCCAAAAATAAAAATAAAGCAAAGTAATAAAAAAAATACAGATTATTTCAAAGTTTTCTTGATTTGAAATATGATGTTTTTTTTTTCATATCAGTGAAATTATATTAAAAGTACTTGCACATAATAATTTTATTGGACGGATTATTGGTAAAGGTGGTAATATAATAAATGCGATAAAAAAAGATACTGAGACAAAGTTTGTTTAAAAAAATGATTCATTATTTGATTGTTTTGATTTGTTTTTATCTTCTTAAATAGTATTACTGTATCAAGTATAAATGAATTAAATTCATATAATGTTGAAAGAATAATATCAATAAAAGGTGAATATGAACAACAAATACATGCACTTGAAGCAATCTATGGTAAATTATGTTTGGCTTATGAAAATGATAATGCTCGGTCATGGAATTATTCAACATCACCGTATCATCAACAACAACAACAACAACCATTAATGCAACATTTTCCTCAACAAGCAGTTATGATGGCTACAAGTGCTAATGGTGGTCCACCACTATTTCCTACACATTATGCTCAACAGCATCAATCGATAATTCAACACACACCAACAAGTAATAGTAATAATTCATCGAGTAAATATATTGAACAACCAACACATCCAACAGCAATATATCATCAACCTTATTATGTTAGTTAAATATAATTTGAGAAAATTAAGAAAAAGAAAAACAAATTTATTTATCTAATTTTAGCCACCAATGTTTCCTGTTTCAGGCCCGTATTATATGTCATATCCACCTACGGGTCATATGGTTCCTCCCTATCCTCATCAATATGGAAATGTAGCAACAAATGTAAATGGAAATCTTAATCATCAACAACAACAACAACAACAACAACAACAACATTCTCAATCGATTGTACAATTATCACAAAATGCATCAGCAGCTATGGAAACTGTTCATTTATATGTACCGAATACGGTGATTGGAGCTATTATTGGTACTAAAGGTCTTTTTATTAAAAGTATTATTAACAATTCAAATGCATCAGTTAAAGTAATTGACTACTCAATTATAATTTACTCTTATTGATAATCATATTTATTATTTAGATTAGTCCATTGAGTCCACATGAAGATCAAAATAAAATAATCGATCGACAAGTAACAATATCTGGAACACCTGAAGCTCAATGGAAAAGTCAATATTATATATATGATAAAATTCGACAAGAAGGTTACATCATTTTTTTCCTATATATTGGGTGAACAAAACGTTTCTAGACAAGATGTTTGTTCACATTTGACATGCTAGAAAGTATACTTTGGACAAGTCAACAGCTATGAGTTAGAATGCTCTTTTTGAATATGGGCTTAGAAATTTTGTTCGAGAGTAGAAAAAATAATCTTTGAAAAGTCCCAAAAATTAGTTTGGACGGAACTTTTAGGTCGACGTTTCCAATAAATATGTTTGTCTACTTGAAAATATTTCATACGAGTCAAAAACTATAATTCGCGACCAGAACTTGAATATAGTGTTCGAAACGTTGTATCTATTTTTGTTTAAAAGTAACGAAGAACTTTTTGAAAGATTTGAAAAATTATTTAGCCAACAGGTTTTTGTTTATCCTATAAAGTCCTTTTCCGAACATACTAAAAAAATTGTCGAAATCGGTCTTTTTGTACAACGAACACTTCTCTACAAAATATAATATTGAACTAAGTTGTGCTCTCTAGTTTATCAAACGTGAACAAACATCTTGTTTAAAAACTTTCTGATCGCCTCTTATGTATCTATGAAAATCATGAAAAATAGATTCATCATTTTCAGGTTATGCCGGTGATGATGAAGTTCGACTACGAGCAGAAATTTATGTACCTACATCATTAATCGGACGTTTAGTTGGTAAAGGTGGACAAAATGTAAATGAAAGATTGATGCTTTTTTTTGTAATATGAATTAAGACGATTTACTTTTTTTTCTAGGTTCGTCAATTACAACAATCAACAGGTGCAATTATTAAATTACCAGAAGATTCACAACAAACATCAGCAAATGAGGTACCCGTTAAAATTATTGGTCCTTTTCAAGCTAGTCAAGTAAAATCATTATGTTTTCTTTATTATTCCATAAATCTTTTGTTTTGGTTATCTAGTTTGCTCAACGACGTATTCAATCGATTATTCAAATGAGTCGTGATTCAATCAATACATCAAATGAAGATATTAACAATAATAATAATAATAATAATAACAATAATAATAATAATAATAATAATAATAACAATAATAACAATAATAACAATAGCGAACAATCAAATAAGTCGAATAATCTCAATGAGATATCGACAATTGTGAATGGAAGTACAACTAGTGATGATGCTGTTGTTGCTTCTAGTACAATACGAAATTCTGATGATAGTATCACAGCAATGGATGAAAAAAAATCTAGTGATGAATGATGAAATTATTTTATCAAAGAGAGTTTGAACAAATAAAGTGCAATAGAAGAAGAGAGAAAAAAAAAGTTCAACTTTAAACAGCATTTATTATGTATGTTGTGCCCAACACAAACTCGGTGATAAAAATAAAATCTTCCTTCTTCTTGTTTTCTTTTCTTTCCTTAACTTCTGTGAGATTCTAGATTAGACATGGAAACTCATAGAAATCGCTTTTCATTTCTTTTTATCTCGACAAAAGTCGATGAACTGGTGTGCGTGTATGCGTGTGTGATTCATTTGTTTTACTTTTTTTTCAGCTTGTTTTATCGTCTCGTGTGTTTGCTGTGTGTGTGCGTGTGCTGGCTTGTTTGTTTTGTTTTGTTTTTTTTTTAAGCGCATCCGTCGATTTTTCTTTTATTTTGAGTGACGGACTTCAGCAATGCATACGCGTGCGTTGTTTAGGGTTTTTTTATACTATAAGTGGAGAACACGATCTGAAAAACAAAAGAAAAAAAACCATGGAAAATAAAAACAAAAACGAGATAATGATGTATTGTTGTTGTTTTTTTTTTTATAAATGAAATTTAAAAAAAAGAAGTAAAATTTTGTTATTTGGTATCAGTATTAAGGATGAAAAAAAAAGAATTCAAATATAAATTTGTCTGGATCTATGTCCAATTGGTTGGACTCATTTTTATAGAATGGAAAAATGATGGTTTTGTTTATCACTTTCATCTAGATTTCTAATGGCTGCTTCATGGCTTTGCATTAATGAACTTTTCAGTTCCAATGCTAGTGTTATTTGTATTGTGGCTCGTATTCAATCAATCAATTCTATACAACGAACTCTCATACTATATGATAATGATGATAATACTTTGCATGTCTCGTTTGTCAATCTTCGCACACCATCTGATATTCAATCATTAGCTTTATTACCAGGTCAATATATTCAAGTTTATGGAAAAGTTATTCGACAAGGTGCTAATATTATTCGAGTTGATGCTCAAATTATTCGACAGTTAGGCATTGATCTTGATATAAATGAATATATAAAAGGTTTAATTCTAATGCGTAATTATATGGCAAATGTTGATAGTAATGGTGTTGAGAATGTTGTAGATATAAATATAAATCATGTCTTTGGATAGTACAATTAAATCGAATGTAGTAACTGCTTTTCGTTTACGTGGTCTTGATTTGAAATTGTAAGTAAAGATTAGAAGGATATTTCAGATAATCTTTTGTTGATTTTATTCAGTGATGCATCACAATATTTAGTTGAATTAGCTTCGACTGTTCCATCAGCTTCGTTAATCTCTTGGCTTGATCAACTTATTGATTTATTGACAAAACGAAATCGTATATTTCTGTTTTTTTCTTACTACGATATATTATTTCATTTTTGTTTTCTCTATAATAATCTAGTTTCATCATCAACTGTTGATAAAACACTTTTGACTAATGTTGTTCAAGAATTAAGAGCTCAACTTTCAAATGATTCACAGTTTGTATCATTATCATTTAAAGATTTTTATATCTATCAAAACTATTCGTGTACTTTTTTTCAAATTCTAGTAACGAAGCTCTTTTTTCAGTTCTTAATGCATTTTCAATGCCAAAATTTATATATTCAAGATCAATGAAGAAATTCATTGAGTATTTATTTATCTTCTTCATCGGAAAATATTTCATTTCGAATAATTATAATTCTTTGTAGAAAAGAAATCGATAATGATCTGTTTGGAAGTGCTCGAACACGTTCGGAAGTATTCTGGGAACGATATGATTTGTTGTCACAAGTAAGAACATATATATATAAGTTTTCTTGCCATAATTTATTTTTTTTTTTACAAAAAAAAAATTAGCGAACATTAAGACACGACGTCTTTTCACAAGTCAATTTAGCATCGGTATCAACAAATAAAGTACAAAAATATCAGGTAAAAATTTATTCAATAACAAAATATGATCAAAGTATTTATTTCTTAGTTGAAAACTATCGAACATTTATTGGCTGCTGGTTCTAAATCGGAAAAAGTTGTACTACTTGGAATGTTGTCACAGTTACATGAGGTAATGATGCATGTCGAAAATAAAATTATTAATGAGATAGATAAAAAAATTTAAAATTTTACATAGACAAAATATGATCTACAAGATCCAACTGGTGTCATTTCACTTAATCTAGATAATGCGGTATGATGTATTTTTCTATTATTTTGATTTTTGTATGAGATTTTTTTTTTTTTTGGTGTTTCTAGACATTTCATCCAGGCTTTTATTTTGAAAATTGTTTCGTCTTAGTTGAAGGACAAATTGATGATGGAATATTTAATGTATCAGGTATCTAACCAACGCAATTCCCCAACTGATCTATGAATATACTGAAAAGAGTTTGTGTCCTTAGCTTATTTCTATGGGAATACTGCACTTTTATAGAATCCTTTCATAATGAATATTGTGGTTCTCTTCAGGAAAATCAGAAGAACTTATTTTCGACTTGAAAATTTGCATAGCTACAGGTTTTAATTAGAATAGTTTCTTATGAAAGTTTCAGACCTTTTCATTATTCCTATTCTAAGATAAAGCTATGGTGAAAGTGTCTTTTATATCGTTCATAAACACTGGCGGTCTCGATGTTCATATTTTAGGATAGAAGCAAATTAAAAGACTTGGAACTTTCACAATACACTACTCTCGTTAAGACTTGTCTCTATGCAAATTTTCGAGTTGAAATTCGAAAATCAGTTTTCCTGAGGGGGCCACATGATTCATTAGATAAAGTACTGTAAAAATGTAGTATCTATGCAGAAATAAACTAAGGGCGCGAACTCTTTTCAGTATATTCAATAGTTCATTTGGATCTATATATAATGCACATAGTCTCGATTCACAATTTTCTCGAAGATCGAACGAATGTATGATAATATCTTAATTTTTTTTTCTCATTCATAGGCATTGGTTTACCACCACCAGAATCGGCACAAAGTACAAGGTTTGACAATTATGATTGAATTATTTCCTGGTTACACACTTTTTTTGATTGAAAAATGATTTTAGATCATATTTTGGTGAAATAAATATAACAGGAAATACACATGATCAAAGTGCAAAAACAAAGATTCGACTTAAGGAAATTGAACAAAAATCTGATGATGCTTTTGTCTTTCTTTCTGATGTTTGGCTCGATGATAAAAAGGTAAATTGAAGATAATTAGAAGACATTCAATGTTTATCCTTAGTTTATTTTAGGTGATGGAACGTATCGAACAATTATTTGATGGATTTGCCGATCAACCACCATTTGCATTTATATTTTGTGGTAATTTTCTTTCACGACCAACGGCTAATCTATATATCAATGATCTATCAGGTAGTACTTTTTTTTCTTGAAATCTAAATAAACTGTTCCTCAATTTTTTTTTCTTATTGCAGATGCTTTTAAAAACTTTGCTAAGCTTGTTGCAAAATATCCAGATATTTGTGAACGTGCTCATTTTATTTTTGTACCTGGTCCACAAGATCGACATGCACCAAAAATCTATCCTCGGTTTATTAATTTTTCTTGACAAAAAAAAATTCAATTAAAAATATGAATCAATTTTAGAGCACCGTTTCCACCATCAATCAATGATATATTAAAAAAACGTATTCGTCATCTTCATCTTGCTACAAATCCTGTTCGTCTTCAATATTGTACTCAAGAAATAGTTATTTTTCGTGAAGATTTATTACAAAAACTTTGTCGTTACTGTATTAAATTACCTTCGGATAATTTGCCTATGCATGTAAGATCTTTCTCATTTTCATATCATGGTTTTGAAAAACAAAATCATTTTTAGCTTTGTCATACACTTGTTACTCAAGCACATTTATCACCATTACCTGTTTATATGACACCGATCTATTGGTCATTTGATCATGCACTTCATTTATATCCATTACCAGATTTAATTGTTGTTTGTGATAAATTCAAATCGATTACTGATACAATTGCCGATTGCACTATTATTAATCCAGTAAGTAATAAGAATTCTAAGAAAAATGAAAATAAAAATATATTTTATTCGAATAGGGTTCATTTGCAATTAATAAATATTGCTTCAAAGTGTATTTACCTGCAACACGTGAAATCGAAGATAGTCAGATTACTAATATGTAAATTGTCATTTAGATATATATATATATATATGTATGTGAAGAGAAAAATAATATTTTTCTTTTTTTGTTCGTGAATAAAAGTCTGAACATTTCCATTTTCATATGCAATGTAATTTGTTAGATTCTTTTTTTTTGTAGATTTAGTAAATAATGGCTGTTAATAGCCATCCTAGTCTTGATGTTCTTGTACCTCTAGTAATGATAGAAAATAATATAACACCTGATAATAGTGATAATTTATCTTGTGACCCACAAAAAGGTTTGAAAAATAGTTCTTATTTAGTTGTGAAAAATTGATTTATTTTTAGAAGTACTTCGTCATTTTGATTCAGGTGATATTGTTATAGTTCGATTAGATTCACAATGCTTACCTGCAATTGTTTTCAATATCAGTGGTCTTGTCATGAAATTTGATAGTAAGATAAAGTTGAATGAAGAAAACAAAAAAAAAGTTTTTTTTTATTTGGTGATGTCATATCTAGTTGATCGACAATTGTATCATGTTTGTTTGTTGGATAAGGAATTTACAGAACAATGGGTTGATGCAATTGATATGATTATCTATTCAGTACCAGTATGAAAATATATTCTAATTAATTTTGTATAAGAAATTAACAAAGTATTTATTTTCAGATGATAGCTGAATGTGAAAATGAACAAATAATGCTTATGTGGTCTACAGCGAATCAACTTCTTGAAATTCGTAATAATGATAATGATAAAACTCGTCTTGAAGAATTTAAAAGACGATTTAATGAAGCTAGACACCAAAAAGTACCTCTTTCATCTATGAATACTTCGAAAAAGAATAGAAGAAGTCGTACTTCAAGTCAAAAAGTTTCTCCACAGGTTATATCTTTTTTCTTTCTTTTACGTTTTATTATTCATTTTCTTTTTTAGATAGCTTATTCTCCATTAACAACTTGTGAAGAATTACACATTATTGATTCTATTTATCGATTATCACAATGTACATATGCTGAAGCAAAGCGTATTGCCGAAGATACTTATATGAAAATTACTTACACGAATAATCGTGAAAATATTCAATCATGTTCGATGGGAATCGTATCTGATCAATGGTTCGTCACATTTGCTATTCGGAAAATTGATTATCTTCGACAGTATTCAACTATTTGGTTACCAGATCTTGAAGCAATGATAGATATTGTTGAGAATGAAAATGAATTACATTCGTTAATCTCATTGATGAAGAAATCAGTCTAATGTGTGTTGTTTTTTCATTCGTTATTTATGTCATTTGTTTGTGCTCTTGTTATTGACTATCTCAGGCTTGTGTTTTCCTCTCTATTCACTTTGTGATGTATAAAATAACTAGAAGGCAATAGTAAATTTCATTGATCTTCTTTTTAATAGAAATCATGCTGGACAAATAACAAAAAACTAAAACGATAGTCAGTGGATTATGTAACATCATTCAAAACACAGAACACGAATAATGCTAATTTCTATTCCAGGAAATTTGAACAAAAATTGCAATTTTAAGTGTGTCGTTCATCATCTATCATGAAAAACAAGAATCTATGAAGTGAATCAGGATTGGAGCTAATTGGTCTTCAACAAATACTTTCGCACTCACAGTACAGTTTTCACACTTTTATTTTATATGAAAAAATATACTATTTAGTTTCTTCCACAAACAGTAACAAAAAAAAAAGAAGAAATCATCTCAAATTCCACAAAAAAGAGATAGAGATTCAGAATTCAATTGAAGTGTTTCTACTTCTACAATCTGATCAATTTCTCTAACTATACGTTTGCTTATTGTTGATAACGCTGAATGGAATGCAGTGTTGGTGTTAAACATCATAATTGTGGATACATACATGGAGGTTTTTTCCGTCATGATAATACATGTTCATCGTTTTGATAATTCATTTTCTTCTTCAGGTATTCAGTTATTTTGTCATATGATTCACCATCATCTACAGATAAATATCTATTAAAAACGAATTCTTTGAGTAAAACAATATCGCTTTCCACTTCTGTAACCTGTTTTCAAGTACAATAAATTGCTCAATCATGATCGAACCAGTTTTCACTCCTATGTTTTTATATAGATTAGCAGTTTGAAAAAGTAAAAATATTTTGAAAGGTCAAGATCTCATAAATTGTCGGACCTGGTGCTGGGTATCCGATCGAGTTGCAGGACATTCGATTTCACCGATGAAACAATATCTACTATATCTGTCTTTCTCTTAGATTTTGTTTTTAGAAAAGTCGAAAAGTATCTTTTCTTATGCTGTCATATACTATCAAGATCAAATGACAGTGTTACTTCAATTTATTTTGCTGAAATCAAAAACCGAGTTCATGTTTACTAGAACATTAAATGTACAAAAGAACTTTGTCTGATTGATAAATTGAATGTTTCATTATCAATTGATATTGACGAGGTCTCACGTTCATAAGATGAATGAAGTGCATAGTATATTCACTGAATGTTAAAAGTTATCAATTCAAAACAAAAATATTTGAAATTAAGAGCGATAGAAGAAACATTTCATTGATTAAGCAGAACAAAAAAAGCATTCATCATGTAACTTTATTTTCTCATTGGTGTATTTAGTGTTCTTACAACAAAAGTGAAATTTCAAAAATGATTATTCATATTTTCATTTTTATTTTTTGCTAAAAATAGAAAAGTACTGCAAACCATGATATCATTCGGTACGACTGAATGAAATTTGCCTTTTCCAAAAGAACCGAATACTTCTTGAAGAGTGGGTGTGGGTGTGGGTGTATGTCTTGAATGTAAACTCCGGAACCTACAACTACACTCACACCCTTACAAAAGTTATTTGATTTTGCTCCATACTTGTATCCATTGACTCTCTCTTCATTCCACTTGTAGAACAATTTGTACAATCTAAATTAACAAATATATCTATTTGACAATTTGACATCTCAAGTTATTCATTCTCTTTTCGAAGTTATGACAGCTTGAAATGTGGTCTGTTGGTTAATTCGTCACTTGTGGGTCGATAAGTTCTGTTGATGCAGTAAAAAATAAAACTGATGTACGTGAGTCTATTAGTACAGTGTCAAACCTTCTAATGTTGATTTGCCAATGTGACGCTGATAAGTAAAATTCCCAAGGATCAAATGTTTTAATTTTCAACCTCGAGTTTATTGATAATGTCAAACCTAAATATACCTTCATCTGTTTGTGTAATAGTACATTAAAGCAAAAAATTCTCTTGTATTAATGTTATATAAAGATATTTATATGATATTCAGCGAAGTTTTGATGAGTTGGACGTTGTCATAATGACGTTCGACATCTTGAACGCTAGTCGATAATCTTTTTCTTCTCATACCATCAATAAGTACTGTTAGAAAATTGAGCATTTGACTGGTTATTTTTAGAAAAGATATGAAACATTGTTTTGAAGCTAAACTACTGTGCCAAACTGTAGTTGATGGAGATTGTTCGATTTCAGTTCGAATAATCTGAACCGATTGATGTATGACATATCCAAAATTTGTCACTTATTATGACTTCATGCATTCCCTGTGTTTCTCTTCAATATATACTACGATTAGTAGACAAAAATGCAATTGTAATGAATAGAATCTGTTTTCAATAATAAATTTCCATAATTTAGAATATTCAAATAAACATAAATTGATTAGCTGCTTATTACCTAATGCAATGCTGTAGTTGTCCAGTACAAAAATTTAATTGAAATTTATTGAAGAATTGTAAACAATTATGAAATATGTAAAGATATGTTGAAACATTCATGATATATGAAATTGGTTTTTATTTTTTAAATTTATTTCAAAATATATATTTATGATTTCATTTAGTTAATAATTATCAAGAAACTTTCAAGATTATTTGAAAAGGTATACGAACAGAGCCAGTTATGTGACATCTATAATTATGATAGATTCTTCGAATGATTTATCTTATTCTGATCAAGAATACAAGATATCTATTTGTGTTATATTTAACTATGTCATACTTTTGAATCTTATGATAATTATACATAACATTTTACTGTTCATTGCATAGATAATAAAATATTTCTAGTTATTTTCCTTGTTACAATAGTATGTAGTTGATATAATATTAAAACAATAGATTATGTAAAGAAAAATAATGTATACGTAAGATTCATGAGTGATAGTAAATAAATGATAATATGTTTACATAAACATGACTAAATATGCGTAGAATAAAAGATTCGTATAGATAGACTAGTCAATACGATATAATAGTAAACTAATGACGCAGAACAAAGCATCAATGCGAAAAGAAAAATAATATGACGATTGTTTTTCTCTTCGAACAATACAAATATACATGAATGAATCAGAGAATAGATAAATACATTTGTTCGTTTAACTCTACATCATTTGGTGGGCAGTTTTTACATCATTGTTATTATTAAGTCAATCCACCATTTAACTACTAATCATAACTAGTAGTGATAAATTCTTCTCTTCCCTTTTGTCTTAATACAGACGTTGATTAAATATGGCTCGTTATTATAATATTCCGAACAAAGTTAATTTACCTCTTGTGTCACCTCCAAGCGATATTGATCCAGTTTTTATCTGTAAATCTAAACCGTCTATTATTATTGAAAGTGAAAAGAAAACACCAAGATCAATAAAACATCGTCATCCAAATATAAGTACTTCAAAAGAAAATACACCTCCAAGGTGTATTGCTGCACATCAGAAATTTCGTAAACCATGTCAAACAATGGTTAAAACGATTGTAACAAAACCAGGTTTGTTTGAAACATTTAGTTCATAATTAAAAATCTTTACTTTTTTTTTATTTAGATCCTCGACTTATGTTTAATTTTATTGATGTTAATACGGATTCTCGTCTTAGTTACCTTGAATTTCGTTCTTGGATGCTTATGATTGATGCAACATTAGCTGAACATGAATTACTTCAAATATTTAATGAAATGGATCGAAATGGTATGACATATTTTCTTGTTTTTTTTTTCAATTGATTATTCTTGTTCTAGGCGATGGTTTTATTCAATACAAAGAATTTCGAGATTATTTTGGTGATGATCTTTTAACAAGTGAAGCAAATGTTGCTGAATTAACTACATTATTTAATGAAATCAATACTGATCAATCGGAAACTATAACACTTGATCAACTTTTAGCATTTTTTAATCGATATTCAACAATGATAACAAAAGAAGAAGCACAACTTTTTCTCGGTATGGTTTCCGATGTTGGAAATGAAAATACTATTACACTTAAAGGTATTTATAAGAAAAAAAAACTTCAATAACTGAGAAATACATTTCATATTTTTTTCTAGAATTTTTAAAAGCAATGCGTGAATGGAAAGTATGAATGAAATATTTAAAAATTTTGTCAGTTGATAATTATAATTATTATTATTTTCTTAATGTAAATTTTTACTCGTTGTATTATCTTTTTTTTCTCTTTCACTTTATTTTTAATAAATATACTAAACACAAAAAGAAAATGACGACAATAAAAAACAAATTTTGATTTAAATCAGTTGAATAGAACAATAAAAAAAATAGGCTAGATAGCAGTGTTACACTCAATTAGTTTATTAGGTCCGTTATATCTTGAACAAATGGCTTTGATTAAACTCTTTTCATCATAACCTTCCGAATATCCATACCAAACACCATCATGCGTACACCAATCTTCTCCATTTAAATAGATTGTACAAGATTTTTTAGCTGATGCTGAACGTGTTTTTTCTAAATTTTTAATGGTAAAACCTTTAATATTGTTATTTGTTAAATATGAACTTAATCGTAAATAGATATTTTTTTTGGATACATAAATCTATTTATTTTCAGATAGTTATTATTATTATTATTATTAGTTTTTTTAAAGTATATATGATAGAATAGTTAAAATTAGGGATAACACTTTACCTTTACTTTACTAGTAACTACATAACTATTATAATTACTTTACTGTAGTTACTTAAATAAAGGGTAAAATAAATGTGCCACCCCTATCCGTGAGAAGTTCAATTGAGCTAGCCGTTGAAAACTTTGAACAGATTTCTCCCGTAAAATTTTCAAATGTATTCTATTGATAAACAATAGATCACAAGTCAGTGCATTGTTCTTCTATCAATTTTTTCTCTATAGAATCATTTTGGTATAACATTAACAACATCGAATAACCAATAACCTACTTAATTAAAGATGATCATATTCTGATTATCTAGTTTTTCATTCTTAGATCATATAAGATTTTTTTTCAAAATTCATTCGTGAGATCTTTTTATATTTAACATCTCGAACAAGAGAATATTCATTTTCAAAAAAGAAGAAAAATATTTTTCATCGTTTGCTTCTTTGAATCAATAAAAAAGGTGCGTACGATCTGGTCCGCAGTTTATTCTTTTCGTTTCAATCACTAGCTTAAAATTAATAATCTTATTTGATGACATCAGAATCGATCAACAGTTACATATTAAAGTAAATCTTTTTTCTTACCACCATTAAGATTTTTAATTTATTGGTTTTTATCAGTTTTTCTGTCTCCCTTGCCATTGATTAGTAAATAGGAATTCTAGCTTATTTTCTGTTCGACTTGTTGCATTTACCTTATAATATGTTTTATGTACCAAAGAAGCAAACTATCAACATCAATCTCGTCTTTGTATTAAAACAAAATAGTTAATATTAAAAAAAAAATAAAAATCATTGTGATAAATTATTATGTCAAATTTATTTTCTGATTGTAATTTCACAATATAACTTGATTTCGAAGTGGATGGATAAAATGTATTGCTTATAATACTATTCATGATGTTATTTTAAAAACAATTAATGCATGTACCGTGACAAGATTGAATAAAATATGATTTAGAAATATTCAAATTAGAAAAGAACAAAAAAACATCCATTATAATTTCTTAGCCGAGACATAATATGCCAAATCTCAAAATAAAAACTATTATAAGAATGCTTATTAGCCGTTATCGATTGTATCTACGAGATCGACAAAAAATATTATTAAGAATAAACATGATTTTAATCATACACAGAAAACGATAATATTGTAAAAGATTATAAAATGAAATGATGTTAGTTAGTCAATTGTTTAAGTTTTGTTGGTTTTTAGAGACGATTAGGTAAAATAAACAACTTTAAGAAAATTTTTGTCATGATGACAATCATTCTTGGATGTATAAAACTACATTCGAATAAATTCATATTCATATGCCTACTATGAACAAAACACATAAAGGTATGCCTCAAGATGCACATGTTATATATATGTATAGACTTTGCCATATTTAATCATTACGTGATAGGAAATTGAAAAGAAAATGTAATTCTATTGTTTTTCGGTTGTAATTGACAATTTCATGCTATAAGCGGCTTCAATATTACAGTGAAAAACTGTTTTAGAATAGCCATTATAAATATCAAGGAAGCAAGATGCCTTATTCTGATCATACTATATTGATCTTGTTTTGTCACAATAAAAAAAGAAAAAGTTTTACAGTAGAATAAAATCTGAAGAAACAATAAGTTTTACTGGAAAATTATTTAGTGCTCATAATTTTTAAAAAAAGAAAATCAAAATATCGGTTTGTATTTATTCGTTGTTTTTGTTGATATTTTCTTTAATTTTCCAATTACACCAAATGTTAGTAAGAGTATTTTGATATAATAATAGTTAGACAAAACTGGCATGATCTTCGACTGTTTATTAGATAAATAATCAAAATATCGTCAGCGAAATAAAATAACTTGACAATTAGAAACAACATCCAAGTAGAAGTTTTAATTCTCAAAAACAAAAAAAGAACAACCAACAATAAAAATTAACTGGATTAATTCAAGTCAATAGAAAGAATTATTCATGTCAAGTATATAATCATGGAGCAAAATGACCTACTAATTACAAAGTTTCAAGCTTAGATAGCATGTAATATTAAGCAGTCATGCGGTCTTTGAGACATCGTATGAGGTAAGTAAACCTGCGTTCTTTTCTAATAGAACCTTCTCATTGAAAACTTATGTTTAGAATAAGAATTTTTCATAGTCGTATTTTTCAAAATAAATGATATTTTCCTTCCCTCAAAATACAAACTATTATTATTTTTCATAGATAACATCCTCTAGATATTTGTCAAATCATCAATCATAGTAATTTCAAGCTTCTTTCTTCATAAAATATATAAAATGATAGATTAATATAAGATGATTCAATAAAAAAATCTACAAACTCATTTCGTTCTCAGCTGTATATAAACATCATTCGTTTTTTTTGTTTCCATTAAATTTTCAAACTGTTTTCGAAATTAAATAAAGAAGAAGTAATTCAAAGACAAAAGAATGAATTCTCACTAGAAATCCTCAATCCCTATTTAAAAAAGACAAGACCGATGAAGACACTCACTGATGAGAATAAGAGAGAGTACAATTAACACCATTGACATATGCACATTCAGCTAAGAAAAAAGAAAAAGACGAAAATTTTCTCAATAAAGAAATGAAAAGAAAAGAAGAATTAGACAACAACAAAAGAATAGTGATGACTACTGCAGATCGACTCTAAGGAATTATGGCATCCTGATATCGTTGTCATCCACGTTATAGAGATACACATGATCTGACCGACTAGAGAAAGATATAGAAAAAAAAAAGAACAAGACATTTGTCACACAAGACACTCGATCAGTCATTATAATCGACAAACGAAACAGCAGTACAAGTCAAAAAGTATTAGTCAAAGACAAAAAAAAAAAAGGAGGCAACAAGTCTTTTAACAGTAAATTTTGTTTGTTTATATATATTTATAAATATGTATATGAATATTCATATGACCGTACATTTGCTTTTTTCTGCCCATGGATTATTTTTTTTATCCGGTGGATGAATAAGCGGATCAGCTTGTTCGTTTTCTTGTATATACCGTTTCAATCTAAACAAAAAAAAAACGAACGTAATAATAACATACTATAAATGCTGAGTAAAATAGTTTACTAATCAGTAAAACAATAACTTTGAAATCGTATACCTTTTCTTTCTCATTTCTTTTAATAATTAAATACTACTTACGAAATCAAATAGAAAAATATAAAAAATCAATAGTGAAAAAAAAAAGAAATTGCCTCGATGCAGACACTTCTTTTTAGTCATTTTATCTTTGTTAATTTTTGACAAATGTTCATTAAAGCAAAAAAAAACTTACTCTTGAAGTGTTTTTGATAGAGGTACTTTTTCCACTCGTAATTGATATCGTAACGATTCAATTTGTTTTTGTAATGAGCCTTTATCCATAGTTTTCGTTTTTTTTTATATGGAAAACTAACTTTTTCTAGTCGTTGATAGGCTGATTCTTGGATTACAAATAACGTACCCAATAAATAATATAAAATGATGATGGACAAACACACGCTCCCGAGTGAAAAACACAGAGAAAAAGAAAGAAAGAACGGGAAGAGAAAAAAAAGTAGGGAAGAGAGAGAACACAACAACAGCGGCAATAAAAACTACTGTTTGTATGTGGATATATATTCTGGAAAAAAAGAAAAGAAAAGAATAGAAGCGTCAGCTAGCAAACAAAACATCGAGCAAGTTAAGCACGCGAAAAAGAATCGGGCAACACATAATGTTACTCGTATATCTATGTGTATGTGTGCATATTGCAAGAGAACGAATAAAGCCCGATGGGAGAGAAGAAGAAAAAGAGCGGCGATGCGCCACTATTGCCACTCAAATACACATAGACTATGAACGAGCGCGTGACGCTTCTTTTTTCTCGCCCCTTAGTGTTTCTTACTACTACTGCTTTTCGTCAAGATTCTATTGTTAGTCGTTCTTTCTCTCCCTCTCGTTCTGTCGGCCTATATTGTAGTAGTTCATCTTCACTATCTTTTCTTCCTGACGTCGTTGCCGTCGGATTGCCTTTAATGTGCGACGGAAAAAGAGGAAGAAAGAGAGAACGAATAATATCTAATGACGCCATACATGCTTCTAATAGGCGCGTTTTTCTATGAAATATGCATTTAGGATAGTCTTGATCAGACTAAGCCAAAAGACGGATGTCAATACGAAAGAAAAAGAAAAGAAGAAAGAAAAGAAAGAAGAAAAAAAATAGAAAAATAATTTACTCACTCCATCAACGTCCTTGATAGCGGAACTCGATCGACTTTTAGTTGTTGCCGAAGATTTTCGACTTGTTTCTGTAGTGTAATATTATCCATCAAGAAATAATAATCTTCAATTGATATAAAATATGTTAAATAAAAAGAGGAAAAAGAAATATTTAATCCAAATCAATTAAATAAACTATGATTATTTTATTATATTTGAAATAAGCAAAAAAATTATATAAGCGAT